AACCCCCACAGCCTCCTCTTCTCTTCGAAATCCCCCCCCAAAGGTGACTAATAAGATGGAACGAGGGGGAACATCCGACCACGCCGGTGACGTTGATGCCGACGACGACGCAACAGCGAACCCGATGTGGTTATCTGCACCGGTTGCAGTGGAGGCGATACCCATTTATTGCGGAGATGAAATGGAAGGAGGCAATTCCCACCGAGGCAACATGGATTCCGGCAAGAGCATGGATAACATTTCTTCTTCCTCACTCGAAATCACACATTTCCTTGGCACAACAATATTGGACGCAAATTTGTATAGATTATTTCTGAAATGTGTTTGATTATCTATATTGGAGGCAATGTTGTACCGTATGATGGGAAGGAGAAGACTTGGAACTCAAAAATCTTGAAAAAGAGTGAAATGAACTGTGAAAGAAACAATATTAGTCCTTACGAAATCTGTTTTAACACCTGAATCTTACTGCATCTGTCTTTGGAAATTGATAAGCTTGGCGAGGAATTTGCAGTTCAGTTTGCCTTTGAAATTCTCTAGTTCTGCTGATAATTGTTGTAAAGAAATTTGCAGTTAAATGTATTTTGCAGCTTGCCATATTCAAATGACACGTTCTCCTCCAGGGCTGAGTTGTGAGGAAATATATTTAAAATTCAGGAATGAAAGTAAATGAGTAAATGCTGGGATAATCCTTGAATTGTCTAGTAAAAGCTCTAAATATGAAGTGGGAGGGTTATGATTAGTTTTTGGAGAAAATATATGTCATGGAAGAAAAAGAAAAAGAAATACTTATGTTTTTGTACTGTCTCTATCATTGGAAAAAGAAAAAGAAATACTTTTCACTATGTGTATTTTGAGTGGCCAGCCTTCCTGAATGTTCTTCCTTTCGTCATGAATGTAGGTATTTTAGAAATCTCTTCATCCGAACACGATAATCCGACCGACATGAGTTTACGAGAAGGAATTGATATTATTGTGCCTAGTGTTGGAATGAAGTTCCAAGATGAGAATGAGGTGTTCGAATTTTACAAGAACTACGCATACCAAGTTGGATTTCCGGTGAGAAAAAGAAATTCAAGGAAGGGTGAGGATGGGGTTCTACGTTATGTATCTTTCACATGTAGTCGGGAGGGCCATCGTAGTAGTGGTTCAAATTCAGTCCTGAAGCCTCAACCAACAATGCAAACAGGCTGTAAAGCAAGAGTGACAGCATGTTCAGAACTTAGTGGCGCATGGCGTATTAACACTATCATTCTGGAGCATAATCACAAAACAAGCCCGTCGAAATCAAGGCTATATCGTTGCAATTGAGAAATTATTGCACGTGTGAGAAGATAGCTTGAAATAAATGACATAGCTGGAATACCATTACACAAGAGTTTTAACTCGGCCGTAGTTGAGGCCGGTGGTTATGAAAATATTACGTGCGTTGAGAAAGATTGTAGAAATTTCATTGACAAAGTCCGACAGTTAAGGCTGGGTGAAGGAGACGCTCTTGCAATACAAGCGTATTTTACAAAGATGCAAGCAACAAGTCCTGGTTTCTTCTTCAGCATAGACTTGGATGATGAGGCCCGATTGCGAAACGCCTTCTGGGCTGATAACAGGTGTAGGCAAGCATGTAAGGAGTTTGGTGATATAGTTACATTTGACACCACGTACTTGACTAACAAGTACGAGATGCCTTTCGCTCCTTTTGTTGGGGTAAACCATCATGGACAATCAACTTTACTTGGATGTGGTTTACTCTCAAATGAAGACACGAGGACTTTTGTATGGCTATTCAGAACGTGGCTTGAATGTATGCATTCTCAAGCTCCATGTGGAATAATTACAGATCAAGACCGTGCTATGCAAAATGCAATTGAATTCGTGTTCCCTAACACAAAGCATAGATGGTGCCTGTGGCATATTCTGAAAAAGTTACCAGAAAAATTTGGGGGTCATAGACATAAGGCTTCCATTTTTGCTACTATACATGAGTTGGTATATGATGTGCAAACTTGCGAGGATTTTGAACTAGGATGGAATAAGATGCTTGATGATTACGAATTGGTAGAACATGCTTGGTTGACCGGCTTGTACAATGAAAGAAGTCGATGGGTCCCATGCTTTTTTAAAACCTCATTTTGGGCCGGTATGTCAACCACGCAATGGAGTGAAGGTATTAATGCATTTTTTGATGGCTACGTACACTCGAAAACATCGCTAAAGCAATTTGTAGAGCAGTATGAGCGCACACTACGAAGTAAAGTTGAGAAGGAGTTTCAAGCTGACTTTAAATCATTTTCACAAATGGTACCCTATGCAACACGGTATGAAATGGAGAGGCAATTACAATCAGTTTATACAATCGTGAAGTTCAAGGAATTTCAAGAACAACTCACTGAGAAGATGTACTGTGAAGTCTTAGGATGTCATGAGACGTACTTGCACACTACGTACGATGTACGTGAGGACATTATTCTGAACAATTGTATGAAAACGAAAATCTTTAAAGTGTGCGTTAGTAGAGATGAATGTGAGTTTGAGTGTAGTTGTCATCTATTCGAGTTCAGAGGAATTGTTTGCAAGCACGTGGTAACGGTTTTGATTCGAAACCAAGTGAACTTAGTTCCCGAAAAGTACATTTTGAAAAGATGGAGAAGGGATGTGAATAGATTGTATATGAGGGTCCCCATTACTTATGATGGTTGGATTAGTACTCCAGACCATGTTCGGTATGAGAAAATGTGCATTGCGTTTGCGAAGTTAGCGGATTTGGTAGCGCACAACGACTCACGGTCACGTGGTATCATGTACTGGATTGAAATCCAAACCAATGGTTGTTCAATGTTAAAGTATACTAGCGTGGGCTCTCAACGTTTGGATGAAGTCGGAATGTGTGCTAGTGGAATCATCTTGGACCCGAAATACACAAAAAGCAAGGGAGCTCCTAAAAAACTTCGCCGAAAGGGATGTCTAGAAGCTGGATCTAGAAATTCTAAAACCTGTCGTAAGGTATGTATTCTCCCTAAATTGTTTATTTTTGTAGTCACTATACATATTGAAATGAGGGTGTTCTCCATAACTTACAGATGGCATCAAACTCGGGTACATTCAACACACAAACAGACAAAGTTCCATCCCCATTCAATGTTCAGGTATCTTGAACTACTGATTCTTAAGTGCTATTGTTGTTTAAATCAGCTTCAGTTTAATCCCTACTGTCAGTTAAGGTTAATGAAACAAAATCTAGAGAATTTATATTTTAACAATCTTAACACGATGAGCAATAATAATCCAAGACAAGAATCTGTCTGGGTATAACCTGGCTGAGTAGGTAGAGGCTGAGAGTGAGCATAGCTAGGCTGAACTGGAGGCTGAGAATACCATAAGCTGATCATAGCCCTGAAAATGTTCCCTTATCTTTGTGTTTTTGGAATTAAAAAGATGTATGCAGCCGCCCTCCGTAGTTGTACTTTTATGGTTGATATCATTTGGAGTCCAGTTAATTATTAGGAATATTTAACTATTTTGCTCTTGTTTTTAATATGTGCAGAATCCAGCTTGATTACTCGTGCTTCTTGATTATGAATATTTAACTATTTCTTCCCGTTGTTGGCAGGAGGTCGGCACACAGGAGAGCATTGGAAATCTCAATGTAGGGGTCTAAAAATCCAAACTAGTCACCAGCTTGAGGAGAAGAGGAAGGAGCAGGCTGTGAAAAAACAAAACTTGGTGGCCAACCCGATTTTGTCTCCTTTCAAATTTTGTCTCCGTTTTCTGATTGTGGACTGTGAAAAAACTGTTGTTTGTGAATAAATTTGAATGATTGCTGAATATTGAATAGATGGCATTGCATAATCTTCTATCAATGTGCATGGTGAAAATTAGCCTTACTTTCTAATTTCAGTTTTAAAGGCCTTAATGTAAATATGTTCAGCCCTCACCCGAACTGCATTTGTTAAGACCCTCAGACCACCTGAACCTACTGCTGCTATTTCGGTTAATAATGATGTGCAGGTTGATGGCTTACCTGTTGGTCAGTATGGTAACCTGGGAATCCTGTTGGTTATTGAAGGCAAGTTGCTGAGTGCTTGGTTCATGGACTGGTCCAACTTTGTGCTACGAAAAAACTAATATGAGTTCCATTGAAGGTAGATTTTATGAGTTCCACTTGGTTGGAGTCAAAATCGATCCAAACCAAAGCCACCTTCTCCACCTCTTGACTATATGTCTATGAAATAGCTGATGAGAATAAGCTACAACAACCATATTGCAGGAAAATGCTAAATAAAGTCTTCGTCATTATTAGCACAACAATGCAAATGTATGTGAAAATATGTAAAATGATGTATGGAGACAGTTGACAAATTATCTTTCCAAATGAATCTTAACTACATAATCGAGGTAGAAAATAGTTCTAATAGTTCACTACATACAAATACGAACCGCTTTAAATCAAGACACGTTAACATAAAATGTGCTCCTAATACAACCATCACTACAATCTTAAGTGCAAATAAGTCAAAGCCATTAAATAACATGGACTTCATTCTACGTCTTCCGAAATTCGTTTCCCTTTGCGCATGGTAATGTTGAATGAAATCTCCACGTTTCTCTCCTCGGTAATTTTTGCACACTTGGCCAACATACGGGACAAATCGTCGACCGGTTCACTTCCATTGTTAACGCCACTTGATTCACCTTGCAATGGATACTCTTTGTACGGCGGAACGTTAGAAAACTTGAAAAGCCGACAATTGCAGGTACAACTATGGAACAACAACCCTTTATTGTCTGAGTCCTTTTCTACCTCCAACCACCTTACGAAACCCTTGCCACAGTATGGACATTGCCTCTTTTTTGGGCACTCCGGCAGCATGTGTCCTGCCACCCTACATGAATGGCATATTCCCCTGTTTCTCCCGGCCATAGAACAATCCTAATCGAACAAGAAAAAAATTAATCACTTGTTCATAAGTTACATATGTAACTTACACTGGACTTTAATTACACACAAATCATTACAGCAAAATGTAAACACGTAGCATTAGCTTCTCAAATTGTCCTGCCCATCAACAAACGATTGCAAAGCAGTTGCAAGACGATTACGACAAATTTTTCTGCCAACGGTCAACAAATTTGGATGTCTATGTACTAAAACAGAGTTATGTCCAATGTGAATTAATATCAAACACGTAATAGGAGATAGCCAGTCAACAACTCTTGATTTCGCAAAGACAATAAATTGATAGACAGATATTTGAAGAAATGTCTCAACCAAACGGTTATGCACGCATACATACAGTGGTGCATAATGGCTAATGAAAATAAACTAAATGAAATAACACAGCTATAAAAAATGAGAAGTTTGATCCATAATGTCCCAACTACATACATATACACCTTCACAGCATCAAGAAAAGATCTAGAAATTCTCAATATGCGCTGCAACTATGGTTTTTCACTACCCAGAAGCGATCCCCTCCGTTTCTCCTTCCTCCCATCAATCCGACCCGATCCACTTCTTATTCCCTCCTCCGTATCATTCCGTGTCGGATCGGGCTGAACCATTAAACTCGTTAAATCCACCCTTAATGTTATTTAATATATTATATATATCCAGTTTCTACAATTTATTGGGCATACCCGAGACGGGATCTTTGATTGAGATCAAACAAGCATACAGGCATTTCAAAAAAATAAAAAATTTACCTCCCGAAGATTTGAAGACGGAGCCCTAACTGCGTGACCCGAATGAGCTCTTCACCGCCAAATATTTGAATCTGTGTTCCAACCGTGACACTGTGATGGCGTCGTCGTTCCCTTCTCCGATTTGACGGAACCCTACCCAATACAAATCGAGGGTTATAGACGGAGAGGGGATGTCGTCTGAAAGATGGAGAAATGAAGAAATTATTTGTAGAGAGATTGAGAGAGCGTCTGAAAGAGCAAGAGATCGAGGGTTATAGTGAGAGCCGGTGAAAATCCATTTTTTAGAGAGAGAGAAGAGAGTCTGAAAGAGGAAAGAAGAGAGAGAATTTCAAATATTTGTTTTTTGAAATGAAGGAAACTGGATAACATTTCGTTTTCATTTTGACCTTTTTACATACGATTTTTTGCCTTCAAAAAAATGCCACGTCATCAGTGTGTAAACTATTGTTTGAAGCATTGGGTACATGTAGACTAATCCATAGAGTATTCGTCACTCTTAGATAGTAAGAGATTGTGATCTGCATTTCGTTCAATTAAGTCAATAACGAAATCATTGGCCAAAGTATACATATAAGTTGAAAAGGAGTTTTCGACTCATATTGACTTAATAGAAGAATGAAAGATATGATCGATAATCGAGATTGACACACTTTCATATCTCGTAGTTGATCGGATCATATTGACGAAGGGATTATAATTTCATGGTAAACGAACAGTTTTGGTTTTGTCATACCACGTGACATTTCCCGTTACATGTGTTGCCCTGATACATTGCTAGATATCAATCTGGGACGACGAGTGTGAATCTGTGATAAATTAAAAGAGTGTTTAATTTATCAGTTTTGATTAGATCAAAATAATATTTCACGTCGTTAGGCATCGTGATCGGGAACCTAATGGGTCGCACACAAAAGAGAATTGACAGGTTGCAAATTCCCAATTGATTAATTTAACAATCGTTGGATAAATTAATTAATTGGATTTGTTATTTATATTTCCGAATTAATTAATTGGATTGATTAATTCACGGGTCGAGTTTAATTAAATGGATTAATTAAATAATAGACCGGACCAGGCCGAGCCCGTCTGGATTTATATAAATACATGACTAGGGTTTGAGGTCCATAAGGTTTTCATTATTCTTGCTGGCACAAGAGGAAAACTCTAGCAGTTGCAATCTATTCTCTATGTGGATTTCATTGGAGGCTGGACAATTGGACAGCTGTGGGAGGCAGATTCAATCTGCTGGAAAGGAATAACGCGAAAGAGTTTGCAAATTAAAGAAAAGGTATATTTCTTATCACAGTTTTTATTTAAATGCAAAGTTGAATCCTGAATGGAAATTGAAATTTGTTAAATTTCGCTGTGCATGTTTAAGTAAATTCCCAACACTTCCAAGACCCAATGGTAGCGCCACTACCACCACCGCCATCGAAGCTCCATACACGCTCCTCCACTATGCATCTATATATGACATAACCTCTGATCATATGTCATATGCTAAGCTAAAGAGTATCGTCAACATGCTCTACCACTGCATCGTCCCCTCGATAATTTCCTTGTTTTTAGGATCACCCATAAAACCTTGTTTTGGAACTTCCTCAACTACAATGGCCGTAAAATTTTCACGGACGAAAGCTTGTACTTTGTCTCCAAGCCTGAAGAAAAGCAACCCCAGAATTTAAGCTTACGAGGTGCAATTCACCACCAAAGTAAGTGAATTGTACCCTTTGATGACACATTATGAATTGCAAATGAAAAACAAATGCAGGCTGGTGCAGATTGCAGAATCGCTCATTTTCAGACTGTAAGTTGGCAATTAACGATTTGTCAAACCACATATACGACATCCCATGTTCTATTGCATGATCTCATTACATTTTCGGAGGTCTTGGAGGAGATTCAAAGGAAAAGGATGAAAAGAAAAGTTTCTGAGAGGAGCAATGCGACAGCGGTGGCAGATGTGCGAGTGTAAGTGGATTTGGTTGGTTGTGGTGGAGTGAGGTGATTGTAAGGATGGGGTGGAGGTTTGGAGAAGAAAATGGATAGTGTGTTTTTAATTTATAGGAGGGTAATTATATTATCATCATAAATTTTACTTACTACATCACATTATAAAACGTCACAATTAAAATATATTTTCAATAAATACAATATAGCAAATTTACAATTATACTCCTAATTCAATAAAAATTAAAAATGAGAAAAAAATGCAGTATTTTGGTGTACTCCCAATATTATTCCTCATTTTTCTCATATTTTTCCACCCACGTATACATAGGAACTGAGCAACTATCTTCCCAATTTAGTTTCCTCTATTTTTGTGCTTGTTTGGTAGGAATTTTGATAATTAATTTTTTGACCGTTAGAGATAAAGTGAGTTCTATCTGTGAGAGAGGAATTCAAAAATAACGGCTAAAATAGTGAAATAACGGTCAAAAAATGATTTTCATTGGCTTAAAATCTGTATCAAATAAGCACTTAGAATAACAATAATTTGAAGGGTTTGTAAATTTCAATTATTCATTTTTTTATTTTTAATTTTTGAAAATTTACAGTTTAGACCAGTTTCTACTGTATATCAGTGAATCATTTTTTCCCTCAATGACAATGATGTTGATTTATAAAAGTGAAGTGGTCTGTATATATATATGTTGGAGATTATTGTTTTGCTATATCTGTATTTTTTATGGGTGTACATGATCTTGAATATTTAGATTTGACTCGGCACTAAATTTTATTTTCTTTTAAATGATTTAGAAAATGCCCTTTCCGATTCTTAAATTGCGATTATAACATATTTTTGTTTGAATGTAGAGTCTGTATTTGAAAGGAGAAGTCTAATTCTTGTCTTTTAATTGGAGGATGAGGAGGAAAAACGAGCAAAAGAAAGATAAACAGGAACTAGGTTTAGAATTGTGGTGGAACAATAAATTAATTTATGTAATAAATATATTAAAAGTTTAAATTAAAAGTTTAAAATTGTGGTGTAACTAATAAAATTTGTAATGGTAATTATTTTATGGATAATTATGTTACCACAACAAAATTTACTTACACCGCAATTTTAATCAAATCTTTTTTTACTTAAATTACCCTAAATAGAATTACTTAATTACCCACTTCTTAGCACAACATTTTTTAAATACACCACAATCATGATCTTTTATACTGGAGTCTCCTTCCAGCCAATTATTTAAGTTTGCTGGCATTCAAACACCATAAAAGTACTTATCTATTTAGATGAATAATACAACCCTTCAAAAACCCATTCCAACATGAAGAAGAAGCAAGAGAGCAAATTCTGAAGGGTAGTTCAGTGGTCATGTATTGGGTTTGCTCCTCAATAATTATCAGTTCGAGTCTTTTCACGGTCATTGAGGTGAGTACTCAATTGTAAACTTCAGGACCCCAAAACTGGCTCAAGCACCCACAGTAATTAAAAATAATAATAAAAAAAAAAATAATATGCAAGCAAGAGAGCACCCCTTCAACAGGCTTCATAAATGCAAATTTCATAAATTCCCTTAATTTATCCAGCATTTAAGGCATTAAAATGTCAATGGCCTCATCCAAATACGCCATCTAGAAAACGTCCCACCACCTTCTCCACCGCGTGATCATAAGAGGTGGATTTTCCACTTCCTGGTGCACCCCACTAGTAACATCATTATAGGGTTTGACTTCCCTTTGTTCTTTATCTTCCACTTCTTTTAAAAATAGTTAAGGAAAAAAATAGTTTTAGAAACTCTTTTCATAGCAATGAGAATTTCAAGAATGAGTGGAAAAGTCAGGATGAGAGAAATGAGGAGTAATATTAGGATGATGAATGCACTATTTTTTTTTTTAATTTTATTGAATTAGGAATATAATTGTAAATTTATTGTGGTGTATTTATTAAAAATATATTTTAATTGTGGCGTAGTAAATAAATTTCATGATAGCTATATAATTACCCTTATTTTATATGAAAAATGTAAAGTTATAATTTTACCCTTTTTTAATTGATCAAAATAACTCAATCCATCCATTTATCTTTTTGCTACAACGAAATAAAAAATTTGAGACTGTAGGTAGTACAGTAAAATGTTTGGGTATAAGCTCCAACAAATTGAAAATTTGGGACTGCAAATACAAATTTTCTAAAATGACAAATATAAAAATTTTGATAAAATACTTGCCCCTCATTCCAATTCATGTCAGCAGAACATTTGGACAAAAATCGTCCATAGAGACAAGATGTGCTAATCTAATTTAAGGTTATTATAAAAATAAAAAATATGATAAAATATATAGAAACATAAGTGTCAAAATAAATAAAAATTGAGAAGGATTAACCTACTCAAACAGAGTTTTTTTTTATTGGACGGGCACCACATTGACCTGTCCCCAAAATCTGTCAAAAAAATCTGTCATTCCAGCATGGTTGAATTGAGAATATTCGTGCGATGATTAAAAAAAAAAACCTTGTGTTGTGAATACATTTACCAAATAGATATCACCAACCATCATTGACAATAATTTTGGATGGTTTTCTATAAATACCCTATCTAAATTTGAACATGAAACTAAAAGAGGTTGATAACTTGTCAAATGTTAGGGAGTTTTCAGCACTTTATCAAATCTAGAGGGGTCAGAACGGAATAAACCCATTTCACTATAGACTTGGAATTTGTCAACGAACTTTATCAAATTCTGCAATAAAAATGGTCAAGAAATTCAGCTGATTTTTCTTGAATTACAGGCTGAGAGTTAACGACCTTCCAATTCACACAACATAAACTTCAGCTGCAGACTTTTGATTGTCTGCAAAAACCCTATAGCACGCGAAGAAGAGCAAATCCTTTTCTCCTTTACTTTGTTTTTTGATCGAGAAATTGCCGAAGTTTGCATAAAATCAATAAACCGATTTTTTTTCTTTATGATTTTACATCATAATTAGTTATTTCAGAGCCCAATATGCAGAAAAAACGGTATTCGTCTTCCATGGGTTGTTTTCATATCATTAAGGTACCCTTCAAAACTGTATGTAAAATACAAAGTTATGAACTAACTACAAGTGAATTATGGTAATTTTTGTATGAGCTCTTTAATGACTGAAATTTACTGGAGACAAGAGTTTTGGTTTCAATTAGTTACTTGTTATTGAATTGAAATGTCGTCTTTGACTCTTTCATACGAAAAGCAGTTATAGATTTTGAGCTATATCCTATGTTAGTAAATCGTTTAATCATTGTCCCATGTAATGCAAGTTTAACTCCACATGATGTGAGGATGTTTGATATGTGATGGTAGTGGTATAGAACAGCCCTCCTTTAATTATGCTTGTTGATTCTGTTTGGGTGGGGGTTTGCAGAGAGTTATTTGTATAGATGGATCTTCGCCAGATACAGGAAAAGGGAAGATCAAGTTTAAGTCATCATCAAGTAGTAATGAAGTGTCACATGGATTCCATTTGGTAGAAGGTCAATCGGGTCATGACATGGAGGACTACCATGTTGCTGAGTACAGGGAAAAGAAGGGGCATGTGCTAGGTTTGTTTGCTATTTTTGATGGTCACCTTGGTGATCGTGTACCGAGCTACTTAAAGGCAAACCTTTATAACAACATACTCGAAGAGGTAAGCTTCAATCTGTCAATGTCTTTTTCATTTATTCTTAACAAGTCGTAGTTACCATCTTGTTTTGATATAGTTCGAGAGGATTAACACCTGACTTGTATGGCTTCTTGCTGAAATAAAGATGTTCCGAGAATGATGTTATTCATTATTTCAAATAATGTGGGGTTGGCTTATGCTGAAAGGAATTAGGAAAATGGAGTATAATTGTAGATAAAATTATATTTCGGATGTTTTAGAAGATTTTTCTGCTAACAGAAAGTTTATCCTGTACAACTATGTGTTAGAAACAAGATATTGCAACTTATAGATTTTAGGTAGTGAGAGAATCGTAGTGTAGGTAAAATCTTTAACCTGGAATTTGATGAGGGGAAAGTGTAATATTAGGACCTGTATTATTATGTCATGGAATCGTAATGACTCATCCCAGACAATAATAATAGAAATAATATGTATTATTCAAGATCAGAACATTTTTGTACATGCAGCATTATGATGGCTTTCTCTTGGTACTTTAGATGATGAGAGAAACATGTGAACAAGTTAATCGGATGCTTCTTTTCCTGCCCGAAAGTTGTGGTGGTACTGGGAATTAAAACTGAGCGCAGTTAGTTAACTATTCTTCATAATAGAAACAACAGACCAAGGACCAGGAGCCTTGACTTGGGACCCTAGTTAAATGCTAATTTAGTCCTAATCTACAGCACTTTAACTTCAGCTACCTCCTCACTTCTGTCCTACTGTACCAAAATTTGTGAATAATGACCAGTTTGACCCCTCATAATATCACTCAGTCCTGTGTTTCCACTTCAACACACTATTTAAGTTTATTTTTCTATCTCCCAGAAGCACTTTTCATTTAGGTCTTCTGCAGTGAAAATCCCACATTTAGGCTTAACTCTATCAAACTGTGTATCTTTGCTTATTAAAGTTCAGAACAGAAAGCCTTCAACGAATCCAAGCAACCGCAATTTCTGCTCTTCAATAAACTTTCAGGAAGTTGATTGATATGAATACTTTTGATGTGACAAATTATTTCACTTAGTTGGATATTCTCGTCAGCTAATTACACTAAAAGTGAAATGAATGAGATTTCTATCGTGAATAACTAGGACTTCAATTTATTCACATTGCAGCTAGAGCACCTACTGACAAATTGCAATCCTGTATCTCTTCCTTTCCATGAGACTCATACTAGGATACTTTGAAGGCTGAATTTAATTTACAATTGTGACTCATCTCTAATAGGTTAAGCTTTTAGATGATCTAAACAGATAATAGACTCAAGTCTCACCATCAAACATTTTATGGAATAATGGTGTGTCAGGATTTTGATAGAAACTGATTTCGGCATTGCACTTGAGGGCATGTGTTAGAAGACTAAATTTAAATAAATAAATTTGTACCTTCTCTAACAGATTAGTCTTTTAATCAGGGATTTCACTGGATATAGACATTGTCACTTTGCTTATCACTATGGCAATCCAACTAATCCTTGATCTTATGCTTTATATAGAACGTTTATAAGTGATAACATTACCAAATATTCCTGCACTTGTATTGTAATCGATTATCCTTATAATTTCCATCAACATTAATCTATTTTCACTCCAATGGACAGCCTAGCTTTTGGGCGGACCCTAAGAGCGCTATAAAAAATGCTTACAACTCGACCGATAAAGTTATCCTAGAGAATTCGATGCAGTTAGGTCCTGGTGGGTCAACGGCAGTAACTGCTATTGTTATTGATGGGAAAGATCTATTGGTGGCAAACGTTGGTGATTCCCGAGCTGTCCTATGCCAGAGTGGAACCGCCAGACAACTCACTGTGGATCATGAGCCACACAATGAACGGAGAAGAATCGAGAAACGGGGTGGTTTTGTGACTAATCTTCCCGGTATATATTTATATTTGCTAATAACTCCTATTTCTTGAGATCTTTGAAGAATAGAGCAAGTGTTTTGACTACCCTAACTATGGCGGAATATTTTCAAGATTTTAATGAACAAGACATATGAAAATATCTTTTGTTTCATCCAAGCAAGATCTGAAGTATTGACCTTTTTGTGTATAATGTCTTCCATTTATCATGCTAAGCTTAAAATTTTTAAGCGTGAGTTCCCATTTGGTTATGATTTTTCACCTCAAAAAATCAATTTTTTGACCATTACGTCCCTAAGTCAATCGTCATTTTTTACTTCGTCACTCATAGATGGGATCCATTTTTCTTTCTAACGATCAAAAAATCAATTCTCATAATTCCTACCAAACAGGCCCTAAGTACATAAGTTAGTATCAAATAAATAATTTTTATATTGGTAATTTTAAGTAAATTATTTATTATGAATAACATCATACTTATTTTAAAATAAGTGACACTTTTTCCCCACTTAGAAATAAGAAAAAGAAGTAATTTATCAAAATATATTTTGAAACAAAAGTTACTTAAGAGAAACCTTAAATCCTTTTTAAGCTTAGTTAGACATGCTCGGAATACCCTTTTTATGATTGATATGCTATCAAAGTTGGTTAGATTACCAAGTAGATGAGTTTTGATTTGACATATCTTGCTCCATAATATGAAGTGTTCTATCTTTAGGAGATGTGCCTCGTGTTAACGGGCAGCTTGCCGTGGCACGTGCTTTTGGAGATGAAAACCTAAAAGCACATTTGAGTTCAGAGCCTGATGTATGCAATGTACGCATCGACTCAAGTATAGAGTTCGTTATTTTAGCAAGTGATGGTTTATGGAAGGTCAGTTTTCATTGTATTTTGTTGCCGAGGTTCTTCATTATGTAGGCATCTTTTTCCGCCGATTGTTGTGCTACTTTCCATGCTTTGAACTGTTGAAATGATTTAAAAAAAATTATGGTTATATGCTGCAATGTGGATAGGAATTTTTTTCTCCTCCTTTATCTAATCCTTGGCAGGAATATAAAAGCTCATTTAGTACGTTTATACGACTCAGCAGGTTTCATATATTCTTGGAAAACTGTATATTGGAAAATATCCTAGAAACTTTCGGCATTTGCAGTCATTTTCTTCTGTCTGATGAAATGTAGTGTTTTTAAATATTATATGTCAGCTTGAGCTTTTTCGTTGCTGGGATATTAGTTTCCAGCATAAAAATATTTTTGCTTTTTAATGATAACAGAGCTCTCTGCATTGCACTCTTCTAAACTAAATGAATGTCGTGTTTGAAGAAACTTGCATTAGTAAAGGAGATTCTTTTCGTTTTATTAAGATTTTCATTTGAAAAAATAGAATGGATTGTAATCAGTTATCTCTATTGGCAGGTGATGGATAACCAAGAGGCTGTCAATATGGTAAGATCCATTAGAAATCCTCAAGCAGCAGCTAAGCGTCTAACCACGGAGGCTTTGACGAGAAAGAGCAAAGACGATATATCATGCATTGTTATCCGCTTTGGATAAAGCTCTTATAACTGAGATACAAGAAAATAAAGAAGAAAATTAAGTGACGAATTTGCTTAAAGTTCACGTGGCATGTTTGCTTGTACATCACTCTCACATGAATTACTTGGTTTTTCATTGGAAAAACAGAGGCTTCAATGCAGTTTCCTTGGAACTGTAAGATGATTAGTATTTCATGTTATTGAGAATAAAAGATTCTCGTTGATGTAATATCCAGTGCCAGTCGACTTCTGTGTGTGTATGCTGTATAATTTTCTCTGCGGTGAGATGCCGGTAATGGCATATTTGTTTTTCGCATGGGACATTGCATTTGCTGTTTGTATTGTATGATATGTGAAACATGAACAAAATAACTCTTAACACATTCATTTACATATTAAGTTGGAAGATAGTCTCTAGCTTGAAAGTATACATTATCAGATTTAAGATGCAACTATGATACAGTGTTTTATGACGTGTCGATTATGCTGCAGTGGTGAGATTATTTATCAAAGCTTTGCTAAGGTGGCAGTTTAGACAAGTAATGCATCTAAATAATGTATCACAATTACTTCTCAATACAATTTCTTTCAAATTCCTTAAGATTTCATGTATTTCTTGAATATTCATGTGGAACATTAGGAATGGCAAAAAATCCGTTCAACGGATACCCATGGGCCCCGTGTCGAATGGGATGGGTAATACCAGCCTAATCGGGTATATGGAATGGGTATGGTGCGAGAGTCACTGCCCTGAAGCGGGAATGAGGCGAGCACGGAAAATATAGTCGCTGCCCCGTTTAATATTAATTTCAAATTTAAGTATTTATCAAACAAAAATAATAGATTTATCATCATTTTTAAAGAGAACATAAGTTGTTTTTAACAAATTGATAAAAAAATACTAACTAAGGACATAAAAATAAAAACAAAAAATAAAAATAAAAATAAAAATTAAATGGGGCGATAAATGAGGCAGGAGGCTTGCTCAGCCCCGTCCCGTCCCGCTTTAATCGGGTATGGTATGGGGTAAGATAACAAAAATACCCGACGGAACGGGGGTGAGAATGACCGATCTTCCCATACCCGTCCCGTTATCATTCCTATGGAACATTCTCATTTTACACATTTGATACATGTTCCTTTATTATATCCTTTTTTGTATGTGTAATGTCAGGTTTTATCTCCCCCTTAACATTCTCTCAGTTTTGTTTTTTTAGTCTCTTTCTAGCAAGCAATTTATAAATGATTTTAGAAATTGATTAAAGTCAAATATTAATTTCAACCACATATTTGTAAATACAAATCGTTATTATTCACACATTTTGTGGGATCTAATCTACTATTGTTCTCTTTATTGTTACTATTTATAAATCATTTATTTATTTGTTAAATGGAGGCTTATATATTAGTAGGAACTCTGGATTTTAATTTAAAATAGATAATCATCCAGAGCTGCAAGGTAAAGAGAAACTCTTTGGGAGTGTTTGCTGATTTACATATTTATCTTCACCAACAGAAAAAAACTTGGGTAACTTTTGTATATTAATAAAAGATGACATTTGTAAAGAATATAAGTTGCAATTATGAACAATAAAAACTTGTATAATAATTAACAAAAAAAACTAAGCTAGTTATTGTTGAAGAAGGAGCCCTCCAAATGGAATCAAATATCATCAGAAGCCCAACCACTCCCTTTAACTGCAGAAGAGAATTCTCTTATGTTTTTATGGAACAACCTTTCGGAATTTAAGAGAGGAGAATGGGCTATAACTGAGCGTCATTTCAGTAGTATGGAATGACAGGGGGTGGAGGAGATGAATAGGAGATTCCTTCAATTGGAGGAAGTGGTATGTTTTCGTACACTGGTGGTGGAGGCGGAGATGGTGATGGCGGAGGTGGCGGTGGTGATGAATATATGTAGGGTGGTGGAGATGGAGAAGGTGGTGGTGGTGATGAATATGTGTATGGTGGAGGAGTTGATGGAGAAGGTGGTGGCGGGGATGAATATGTGTTCGCTGTTGGAGGTGATGGGGAAGGTGGTGGGGGTGATGAATATACATAAGGTGGCGGTGGCAGTGGCAGTGGAGGTGGAGGTGATGTTGATTCATTGCATCCAGGGGATGGTGGAGGCAGTGGTGGTGAGGGTGGCGGCGACGATGAATAGATGTAGGGTGGTGGAGGGGGTGATGAATATGTGTAAGGTGGCGGAGGTGATGGAGAAGGTGGTGGCGGGGATGAATACGTGTAAGGTGGTGGAGGTGATGAATAGGGTGGTGGAGGGGATGAATATGTGTATGGTGGTGGAGATGAAAATGCATAAGGTGATGGAGGTGGTGTTGATTCATAGCATCCAGGGGATGGTGGAGGTGGTGGCGATGAATATATGTAGGGTGGTGAAGGTGATGGAGAAGGTGGTGGTGGTGGCGGCGGTGGAGATGAATACACATAAGGAGGCGGTGGAATTGGTGAAGGAGGTGGCAGTGGCGGTGGCGGTGGAGGTGATGATGAAGGTGGCGGCGGTGGCGGTGATGAATATGTGTAAGGAGGTGGAGGTGGAGGTGGCGATGGAGGTGGAGATGATGGTGAGGGTGGTGGGGGTGATGGTGATGGTGTCACGTGTTCATAAACTGCCGGTGGTGGTGATGAGTATGTGTATGGAGGTGGAGGTGGAGGTGGAGGTGGCGATGGTGAGGGCGGCGGAGATGAATATACATAAGGAGGCGGAGGAATTGGTGAAGGCGGCGGTGGCAGAGATGAATATATGTTTGGCGGTGGAGGTGATGGAGAAGGCGACGGTGATGGTGGCGATGAATATGTGTAAGGAGGTGGAGGTGATGGTGAGGGTGGTGGGGGTGATGGTGTCACGTGTTCATAAACTGGTGGAGGTGGTGGTGGTGATGCATAGCGCGTCTTCGGTGAGCTCTTATGCTGAGGTGGTGGAGGTGGAGGTGGAGGTGAATGCTTTGCGGGACTAGAGTGGTAAGTTGGTGGTGGAAGGCGAGTCCCTGGAAAGACTTTGTGTACAGGCGGTGGTGGTGGTGCATGATAAGATGGTGTCGGTGTCGGCTTTTGAGATGGAGTTGGTGGTGGTGGAGGGTGTGATCTCATTGACGGTGAAGACCTTGAAGTAGGCGGAGGTGGTGGCGAAACAGGCTTGGGGAAAGGCCTTGGCCCAGCAGATGGCTTGGGAGGTGGCGGCTTTGTCTGAACTGGTGGCCTCTTCCTTGGTTTAGGCTTCATCCTAAAGCCACCGCCACCGCCACACTTGGACTTGCTGCAATCAAATGGCTTAGCAGCTTCAGACGAGCATTCTTTAGCAGACCTCTGATCACTCTTCCCCGGAATACAATTCTCCTGCCCATCGGACACTGCCCCACCACCAAATTTAGTGCATTCCGGAGCCTCCTTGGTGAAGTAATTGAATGAGTAGGTAAAGTTGAACAGCTGGGGGAGGCGGCACACGGTGGCGGCCACCTCTCCTGTGAGGCGGTTGTGTGCCACATCTAGCTGTTCCAAGCTCTTCATACGGCTAATACCCGAAGGCAATGGCCCTTGGAGATTGTTGAAACTAACATCAAAGACTGTCAATTTCTTCAGCATTCCAATCTCTGGAGGCAAACAGCCAGTTAGATTATCATTCATCAATATCAATTCATTCAAAGTTTTACCCATTTTTCCAATGCTGTCTGGAATGCAACCCCCAAGATTATTGTTAGCCAATACCAAAACAGAAACTGGAGAATTTCCAAGATTTTCCGGTATTCGGAATCGGAATCTGTTATCATTCAGGAAAATGGCGTCAAGGGGTTTGTCGAAAAGCCTATTTGGGACAAGTCCCTCGAATTCATTGAACCTGAGGTCCAAGAATTTCAGTGCAGGCAATGACAAAACCACTTGAGGAAATCCCCCTACGAAGCGATTGTTACTGACATCCAGCTCGAAAAGAACCTTCATTTTCTTAAAACTCTTTGGGATAACACCGCAGAATCGATTGGAGTTGATGTGGAAAAGGGCCAGATCTGTCAATAACCCGAGCTCATCCGGGAGGTACCCTGCAATGTCTGCGTTGTTTAGGTCAATCCCAGCCACAACTCGCATGGAGGCATTCGTTGGAGACGGCGAACAGAAGACTCCACCATAGGAACAAACGTCAGGACCTGTCCAGTTTGCTGTGAAGTTGAAAGGATCAGATAAAATGGCCTGTTTCCATGCTTGTAAAGCAATGTAGGCTTGTCGAATACTAGGGTTTTCGAACGTTAAGTTCTTCATATCTCTATCAATATCATCCAAATCAATGCCATTTTCTGCACAGATTTGAGAGGAAAGCAAGAAAATTACTGCAAGAACCAAGAGAATTGGGTTATGCTGCAAATGCAGCATTGCCTTTTGATTTCTGGCTATGGATTTCATTGGAGAAAATAATTTGAAAACATTCAGAAGAACAAGAAATGGAAGGATAGAAGAGTGTTTTGAGATGACAATTATGGCTTGGTTTGTGTTCTTGTTGTATGAATGAATAGCCACAGGCTGACTTCACACTTCAATTCAACAGCTCCACCCCCTACTTTATAATAGTTTAGGATAGGAGAAATTTTAGTTTGCATAATGGGTGCCCATTAAGTTGATTTATATTATGATTTCATTAAAAAAACCACTTGGGATTTTATTAATTTTTATTATACAATTGCTGACAGAGTCTATTATTCTCTGCCAGACGGGTTTGGAATTTTTATTTTTAATTTGAATTAACAACTAAGACACCCTTTCTAGGTGTGGCCGTGGTCCAGTCATTCTGCTCCGGTTATGAGAATTCAACACATTATACCAAACTTCGACTGTATGACAGGAGAGCACGTTGCAGGGAAGTAGAGAAACGTGTAGCCAAAAACTATTTAACAAGAGAGATGGATGGAGTGATTAATGGTCAGTTAAGAATATAAAAAATGTGTTGGCCAGTATCTTAGGACATTAAAACAAATTCATTTCTTTATCATTCACCTTCAATTAATGGACTCGTCGATTTGTGAGCTCGGTTCATCCTGGCTCAAGCTCGCATTGAGAGGAGCAATGGTCGAGCCGGGCTCAATTTTTTTTCATGAGTAGGCTGGTTTTTTGTATTATCGAGCTCAGCTCATGACTCCCACGAGCCAAAGGATCAAGCTGAACTTAATATATGGGCACGAGTTGAGCTCGACTCATCTCTAGGACCTAGCGGAGCATAGGTCTCGATTCAGTCTATTCTACCTCCATCTTCAACTCCTTTTTACACATCCACTTATTAGTTTAGGATCCAAAAAATTATTTTCATTATAGATCGTCTGATTAAAAATGAAAAGTTTTAAAGGGATCGTCAAACATGTATATATATATATATACACGATAATTTTAATTCATCATATTAAAAATTTCTTATAATTTTAATTATAAACTTTACTACGTGAGAAGATCGATCTTGGTGGGTTTTAAAGAAAAAGCAAAAATAAGTTGATTTAAAGTGTGGGGTATCTATGCTATGATCATGAATTTGTTTGACGACAGCTTGTAAGAGATTAAAACAGAATACTGTTTACACATTATACCAAACTTCGACTGTATGACAGGAGAGCACGTTGCAGGGAAGTAGAGAAACGTGTAGCCAAAAACTATTTAACAAGAGAGATGGATGGAGTGATTAATGGTCAGTTAAGAATATAAAAATTGTGTTGGCCAGTATCTTAGGACATTAAAACAAATTCATTTCTTTATCATTCACCTTCAATTAATGGACTCGTCGATTTGTGAGCTCGGTTCATCCTGGCTCAAGCTCGCATTGAGAGGAGCAATGGTCGAGCCGGGCTCAATTTTTTTCATGAGTAGGCTGGTTTTTAGTATTATCGAGCTCAGCTCATGACTCCCACGAGCCAAAGGATCAAGCTGAACTTAATATATGGGCACGAGTTGAGCTCGACTCATCTCTAGGACCTAGCGGAGCACAGGTCTCGACTCAGTCTATTCTACCTCCATCTTCAACTCCTTTTTACACATCCACTTATTAGTTTAGGATCCAAAAAATTATTTTCATTATAGATCGTCTGATTAAAAATGAAAAGTTTTAAAGGGATCGTCAAACATGTATATATACACGATAATTTTAATTCATCATATTAAAAATTTCTTATAATTTTAATTATAAACTTTACTACGTGAGAAGATCGATCTTGGTGGGTTTTAAAGAAAAAGCAAAAATATGTTGATTTAAAGTGTGGGGTATCTATGCTATGATCATGAATTTGTTTGACGACAGCTTGTAAGAGATTAAAACAGAATACTGTTGTTGTTAATTGTAATTTGCCAGGCCAAACATGGACCCACAGACACTGATTGCACGATCTTGTAAGACTTTTTCATCTTCAATCTCTGTCATTTTTAAACCAAAAACGCGTATTCAAATACTCCATATAATTTGGGTACCTTTTGCTGTGTTCTCTCTTTCCTTAAGAGACAGGTTGTCCTAACAAGCAGAATAACACTTTACACTGTTGTTTCATATTTCATCATCCGACTTCAATTTGTTTCATTTTGATCATTAAAGTTGTATAATGGCCAATCCTAAAATAATGTGACCTAGTGAGCACTTTCACCAGCCAAGATCTCACAAGTGTGTGAAAGGTCGGGTAACTAACCATTCTTTTTCCCAGCCCTATAAACGAGCACTACCGAGAGTGCTCACTAGTCGTAACGCAAGGAGTTGATTGATCAAAGTTAATAAACCTCCACAAAGTCGTAAAATCATGTCTAGGGGCTGACACCCACCAGGTATCGGAAGGTCAAGAAAGTTGTTGACATGATGACAAGGGAATCAATGACTAAAGCCCCAGTGACCAACAACCATAACTACAATGGTTCTAAAGTAGTGAAATTCCTTGTCGAGTAAGTTTTGATACACATGAACCAGACCTACATACACAAAGAACAAAATATATCTCTGGTCATATTCTTGTGGAACTTCTGTCGTCCCCTTCATTGTGGTCCCGTGGGATTGACCACAAGTGGCTAAACTGAAACAAAAGAGTAAGACAGGTAATTGAGCTGAAACAAATCAAAGTTGAGTGACCAACATGAAATAAACATCAGAGTTTCCATTTCTATAACTGGTTAATAGTCTAACAATTCCTCCAAAGCCACCCTATACCCTGGTGGGGCTGGGGTGGAGGTGGGGACAATAAAATTGAAGTCTTTAATGTATGCATTGACAAGAAACAATTATGATATCACATGCTTGCTATTCTATTATTGAGAACGTGTATATAAAAAGAAAAAGTCTAGCTGAAACAACAAATCTTTGTCCTCTCTTGTATTACAAGATTTACAATTCCTGTCCCAGAATCAATTTTAGCATAATGATCTGGAAGACCATCTGGAATCTGCTGATGAACAACATTGCCACAAAACTTACAGTAATGGTTACGACACTGTCGACACATCGAGCTAGAATCAAAATTAGTAGTCAGTAGATACAATTATCCGGAGGTGCTTCTTCTGGTATCTGAAAGAGAAATCAAATTGCAGAAAAGAAAAAATCAATTATACGCTCAAAATACAAACTTTATCAGAAGTAAAAAAAGGGGGGAAAAACCACTATATGAAAGTCATACTCGTACTTTTTCATGCCCACGTAGTAGTTCTACTAGTTTACCAAATTTATCTTCTGCGGGAGAATTAGGACTCGTGCAATGCCCACTTCACAATCTAAAGTGAAATGATACCCAATTTTTACAAATCAATCTTGGTTGGTTCAACCCTGTTTGCCAATTAAATCCCAATCTTTTCTGTATGTGCGCGCCTTATTATGTCTAGGAGGCACACTTGCACTGTTGGGGTGCCAGGTTGGGGGATTAGATGCTACTATACAATATTAAGGAAGAAAAATAAAGTAAAATCTTATCCATTGTAGTTTCATATCACGTTCAATACTTAATAACAAGCATACCCTTGTGTCCAATGTGAATACCCCGTCAATGTACCTAGCATTTTCTGGTCTTAGTTTATAAAGAATTCATCCAATTCAAGGATGTTTAAATAGTAATACTAACACATAGACAAGTATAATGCTAGTTTACCTCTCCAATTTTCCATTCTGCTTTCATCCAAATGCTATTGTCCATGTTACTGTTCCCACTGTGCGTGTTGTTCCTGCAAAACAAGTTGAGATCAATTGCAAGAAGACAGGAAATTATTAATGGTTAACCAGTATATTATTGAATGGTATATATTCAACACCAAAATGCCCAAAAAATGAATGAAAGAAAAAATGGAGTGAAATAAAATTGTTTCTTGATTGCATAGCACTCTTATCTAACAATAGTGCAGGACCTCTCAAGGGATTGCTGATTTCTCACTCTCATTAGCTTTTCACCTTATCATGAACACAAAACATGGTTCAAGTAAAAATAATCGCAATGATATCAAAAGTTGCATGAGGACTATAGTCAAACATGGCTTAGGTTTTTTTAACCCATGTATTCTTTGCAATTATTATTTGAAACTACTATATCCACATAGCCAAAAAAAAAAAAAAAAAAAAAATCATATTTCACGAAATTTTATTCTCAAAAAATATACATCAAGCAGGCACTCATTATGGATTTCTAAAGAAAATCTAAAACTATTAACATGAACTGGCTCTAAAGCATTCTGTTTGGATTTTTAAAAAATAAAAATTATAAGAATAATAACAAGAATAATAAGAATAGGCAAATGGCTTTTATGTGAATTGGATTAGTGATAAGAGAGATATTCAGCACAAGAGAGAGATGAAGTGCCGTAGGGAACCGTGAGGTGCTAAGTGTTAGATACATAATAATACTGAAGAGCTGTCTTCTGTGGTCTTGGTATCCATACGCATAAAAGCCATTTTTTAATATAATAAATCTTTCTTGTGATTAAACTCTACATAGTTATGGTTCTAGTTCTACATAACCTTTTAGCACACAGTATAATAGCAAATAAACAGTAATTGGTGCAACAACTTACATCAACTGGATGCTTTTAGTCACATCCAAGGCAGAATTAGCCCCACTCATAGGAACTTCAGCCGGGTTATAAGCTGCAGTAGGCATATGAGATGAGATTGTTGACGTTGAAAATGGGTTCTGGTGAGAACTTATTGCAGGTGAATTATTTCCCTGAAATGTGCTAGATGCCTGACTGTAGTTCTGGAAAGAATGGGATTGCCCGAAGGTATAACTTGATGCAGCACCAAACCTGGGAAGTAATATGGCACAAAGGATACATGGTAAGCTGAACATACACAAGTGAATGGACAATAGAAAAATTAGTATTAGAGATAATAGCTAACATTCTAGACGTGTTTAATGATGCTCCCAATTGACCAAAAGTTGACACTGAAGGAGGGCTACCACTCTGAATTGTCGTTGGGGTATTTGGGCTGACACCGGCAACAGAGTTTTGAGTGCTAATTGAGGCATTTGATGAAATCGCATAAGGTTTCTGTACAAGGCTTTGAAATTCAACCAATTTGGAATTTAGTAGGCTCCTTTCTCTTTCGATCTGCATCAGGATAAGAACAACCAATAGCCAGTAAATAAACTGATCTAACAAGTAGCCTGATTCCTATTATATAACTGTGTAATTTAAATATATTCAAAACTAATGAAATGCCAAATCCATGAAACTTTCTGAACAAATTAAACATATTACTAACATATTAGTGAAAGCCCAGCACTAATTGAAATTTTATAGTAAATCTCATTCCTAATTACAGATATGTAAAACAACTGAAACACAGATTGATAAAATCCCAACCTTTTCTCCGCAAGAATCTAATCAACTTAAGAAAAGGGAGAGTTATTTTGCTTTGGGTAATCAGTTTACTGCTTATACCGTGTAATCAATTTACTGCTTCAACTTTGAAAATAAATGTCTGGATATGAATTTGTATAAGCCTTTAGATGATACAACTTTCAACCTCACTAGACAGTTTGCCTCAGGAATACAAAATGGCAAGTGAGTGAGTTTAGATTATCTTACAATGGACTGTAAGCTCAATCCACGCTTAGCTTCATCATATGCCAATGCACGCAACTCTTCATAGCTGATATCACCAACAATGTCACATGGACCGCTGTGGACAAAATAATAGACCATTTATGAACTCTGTTTCGGCGACAAAATGACAAACTGAATTATGAAACTGGAAACTTTAAAAGATTAATTTATTAATGTTGTAAATGTAGCTCATATAGAGTGGAACACAGGTTTACTGAATCAAATTGGCCGATGCCATCGCTCCTTGCAGGTTTTAATTTACTGTCTTTAGGGATGTTGAATAGGTTGGGGTAGGGAGCCAATGCCCCTCAGTACGTTACAGGGATATTTTCTTATTCAGGCCATAAAATCTTGTATGAAATTGGGCTAAGGTTAGTATAAATATTGATGATGTAACCCTATTATTCAATACCGAATAAAATCTCCGCTTCGCTCCTTGTGGATGTACACACATCTCCAAACCATGTTAAATACTTGTGTTGATTTCTCTCTTTCACTTCTCTATTATTTGCGTATAAACTCTAGCAACTAGTATCAAAGCTCCGGGTCTAAATGGCAAGTACTTCAATTGTAAAATTCGAATCGGGAATTTTGGATTATGACAGTGAAAGGTGAAGGATTTGTTGGCGTAGCAACGGATGGTGAAGGCGCTACCTGGGAAAAAGCCAGAAGATACATCATATGCCGATTGGGAAGAGCTCGAGGTGCAAGCAATTAGTATAATTCGCCTCTATTTAGTGGACGAGATCATATATCACATCTAGGACGTTGAGTCTCCGACGAAGGTTTGACTAAAATTGGAGAGTCGTTGTATGTCGAAATCTCCCATGAACAAGTTGTATCTAAAGCAGTGGCTATACAAGCTCAAGATGCTAGAGGGTACAGAGATGATTCAATACACCAATGTGTTCAATCAAATTATCAACAATTTGTTGCGACTTGAAATCAAGTTTGATGACGAAGACAAGGCAATAAGAGACTATGATTCTGGAGATGAAGACATGCTATCAATCAGTCTCTACAGGTAATTCAAATAGATTACGTGACTCCTGGGTACTTGATTTAACTTGTTCATATCACGTGTCCTCTATACAAGTTCAAGATGCTAGAGGGTACAGAGATGATTCAATACACCAATGTTTTCAATCAAATTATCAACAATTTGTTGCGACTTGAAATCAAGTTTGATGACGAAGACAAGGCAATAAGAGACTATGATTCTGGAGATGAAGACATGATATCAGTCAGTCTCTACAGGTAATTCAAATAGATTACATGACTCCTGGGTACTTGATTTAACTTGTTCATATCACATGTCCTCACCAGGACTAATTTGATTCATATCGTTCTAGTGATTTTGGATATATTTTGACGGGTAATGATGCATCATGTAATTGGAACGAGATCCATAAAATTTAAAATATTTGAAGGTGTGTGAGAACTTTGGAGGATGTTGGGCATGTATCAGAGTTGAGAAGGGGGCTATAATTGTGATGAAAGGTTAGAAATTGATAGGGAATATCTACAAACTATTGGGGAATACAATCGTAGGTGTAACTGCTATAGCAAATTCTAAGTCAGATGAGACTCTCCTATGGCATATGCGACAGTGTCATATAGGAGAACGTGATATGATTGAGTTTCACAAGAGGAATTTGTTGAAGAGTAAAATCATGCAAGCTGGATTTCTGCAAGTTTTGTGTACTTGGAAAACAATCCAGAGTACAGTTCAATACAAGAAATCACAAGACAAAGGGGGTATTCTTGATTATGCGCATTCTGATTTTGGGGACCAATGAGGAAGTTGTTTAAAAGTGCATCTCAGTAATTCATTACTTTCAATGTTAACTTCTCTAGAAAGGTTTAGGTATATTTCATGGAGCACAAGTTTGAATCTTTTGCCAAATTCAAATCATGAAAAGCAGAAGTAGAGAACCAAACGAGCAAGAAAATTAAGTATCTCAGGAGAAACAACAGTACATAGTACATAGATTCACAATTTTTGAAATTCTGTGAGCGTGGTATCCAGCAACACTATACAGTTCGTAAGACATCGCAGCAGAATGGTGTAGCAGAGAGGATGAACAGAACAATTACAGGACGGGTGAGATGTTTGAGATTGAATGCAGGGCTTCTGAAGAGTTTTTGAGCAAAAGCGGTGAACATGGCGTGTTATGTCATAAACAGATCACCACGAGCAGCACTAGATGGAAAAAGTTACAGAGGAAATTTGGACGAGTAATGAAGTTTATTATTCTGGATTGAAAGTATTTGGGTGTCCAACTTATGTGTATATCTAATGATCAGAGATCCAAACTTGATCTGAAATTGAGAAAGTGCATTTTTCTGGGCTATAGAATGGTGTAAAAGGGAACAAGTCTTGGGATCTAGAGGCAAAGAAGATGGTCATAAGAAGGAATTAGTCTTGATGAAGAATTTATACTTAAAGCTTCTCCATATGAAGAAAAGTAATGGTGACGTGGACATTAATGCTCAGGGAGCTAGTATTGCCACAGATAGACCCCGTCGTACTATTAGGCCATCGATGAAATATGGATTCGAGGACTTAATTTCTTATGCACTCATTACCAGCAATGGTGATCCTATAACTTTTCAAAATGCCATTGGTAGTTAGAAGAAAAGTAAATGGATAGAGACTATGATGGAGGAAATTGGGTCATTGCATAAAGATGACACCTGGAATTTGGTGGAGCTTCCAGAGGGGAAGAAACCGATAGGGCGTAAGTGGGTGTACCAAAAGAAAAAAGCAATATCAGAAAAGGAAGGGAAAAGATACAAGGTTCAATTAGTAGCTAAGGGATCCTTACATATGAAAAGAGTAAATTATGACAAGATTTTCTCTTCGATCATCACACACACTTACCCATCAAGATTGTCTTGACAAGGGTAGCCAGTTTTGATTTGGAGTTATAGCGACTATATGTGAAGACTGCTTTCTTTCATGGTGATTAGGAGAAGCAAATTTTCATGGAGCAGCCGAAAGGTACTTAGAACTAGGAACGGACAATCTTGCGTGTAAACTGAATAAGCCTTTATATGAGCTTAAGCAGTCTCCATGGCTATGGTATAAAAAGTTCAACTCCCACGTGATTCAAATTAGCTATAGTCGCTGTGAGTATGATTGTTGTGTTTACTACAGAATTCTTGAGGATAATTCATATATTTTCTTGATGTATGTGGATGACATGTTAATTGCTGCTAAGAACATGAATGAGGTAAACAAATTAAAGTCTCTGTATAGCAATAAGTTTGATATAAAAAACTTGGGACCGACTAAAAGGATTCTTGGCATGGAGATCAGCAAAGATAGGAAGGCTAGAATATTATGGGTATCACAGGAAAATTATTTAAAGAAAGCGTTGGAGAGCTTTAGCATGTTCAATGCAAAATCATTGGGCACACCATTGGTAAATCCCTTCAAATTATCCAGTAATTAGTGCTCAAAGAATGAAGAAGAAATTAACAAGATGTCAAAGGTGCCTTATGCCAGCGCAGTGGGATGTTTGCTATATGATATGGTGTACCAGACTAGAGTTAGCACATGTAGTCAGTAGGTGAGCAAGTACATGCAAATCCCGACTGAGAACATTGGAGAGCTGTAAATTGGATTTTTAGATACTTAAGAGATACAATGGAGCGTAAGATCATGTTTGAGAGACAACATGATGATGTTTCAGTTTAGAGGTACGTAAATGCTGATTATGCAGGCGACTAGAATGACAGAAGGTCTCATACAGATTATGTTTTCCCACTTGCAAGTGAACCTATATGTTGGATATCAATGATCTAGTAACTTGTGGCATTATCCACAACTGAAGCATAGTACATGATGGCAACTGAGAGAGCTAACGAATTATACTGGTTGACAGGGCTTGTCAAGGAGCTTGGGATTAAGCAAGATGAAATGAAGCTGTATTAATAGCAAAGAATCATATTTATCATGTAAGACCCAAGCAAATTAATGTGCGATTTTAAAAGATAGGGAGTTGGTTACTTCAGAAGAAATGTTGCTAGAGAAGATGCATATCTCAAAGAATATAACAAACATGTTGACAAAGCTAACACAATGGACCGGTTCAAACATTGCTTGAACTTGATTAACATCTTTAGGTGTTCGAAAGAGGATGTATCCCTATCCATTGGTCCCAGATGGTGTATTTTCCCAAGTCATGCTTTTTCAGTGTTTTCTCCTAAAGGGTGAATATTAGCTAAGGTGGAGATTGTTGTGGATGTGGCTCATATAGAGTGGAACTTGGGTTTACTTAATCAAATTGGCCGATGCTGAAGCGAAGCAAAGCGACATCTACCTTGCGGGTTTTGATTTACTATCTATTTGCCAGGGACACTACATAGGTTGGGGCTGTCGAGACAACGGCCCCGCGTTACAGTATGGTATGGGCCCTAAAGTCTTATAATTGAACTAGGATTAGTATAAATAGTAAATATCGATGATATAATCCTATCATTCATACCGAATAAAATCTCCACCTCGTTCCTTGTGGACATAAGCACAGCGTCGAACTACGTTAAATACTTGTGTTGATTTCTCTCTTTCACTTCTCTATCATTTGAGCATAAAATCCAACAATTAAAGATATGGAAATATTAGATGGTACATACTTTTTGTTGTGCCCATAACAAGTAAGCTTCCACAGTGGCCTCTCATTTTCAAAATCTTCAATAATTTGACGTTTGCAAGACTCGGGATCTGTGCACCTACATATGCATCAAAACCATAAGCCGCCAAATGCATGTGATATGAGTATAAAATGAAAGAGTGAAATATTATAAATGCAGAGAAAAGAATATCTTTCATTGATGACCACACACTTACTTGTGATTAGGTGCAGAAGTCTGACTATCGGATTGCCGCAATGAGGAGGAGCTATTTGTATTCAAAGGGGAGAAACGAGTCCATTTATTTTCAAAAGGCTGATCCCAAAAGAATATTGCAGGGTAAAAAACAAGATAATGAATACATTGATAAAACGACAGACAAGCCGTAACTGAGTCACACTTAGATGACACCACCATGAATCTGAAATCAAATATGCAGTAAGAAGTTAGAATCAATAAGGAAAAGAACCTTGAATTGATTTGGTCTGGATCCAAAATCATTTGCCCCTCTCACTTGAGCATTATGCTGGACTCCAAAACCAAAAGGATTGGGCTTCTGCTGTTGTGGATTTGTGTGCTGAAACTGGGTGCCAGTTTGCGTACCAAATCCAAAGGGACTGGACTGTGATTGTGGCGGTGTGTCATGAAGAAACTTACAATGATCACCATATCGACAACTGTGTGAGATTAGAAAAGTATTACATGATGCAGAAAACAACTGAAGCAATCGACCTATCAAGATTGTTCATAATTCCATATATGTCACGTAAAATTATATGCAATTCTGAAGTCTGAAATGATTGAACCATAGACATCAGAGAGGTAAGATATGATAAAGCACAAGAAGAGTAGTGCCAACATGCTTTATAAATTCTAAATAAAAGTGGAGAGTGGCTCTCTTGACATTACTGCACTCTATTGTGCATCAATTTGCAGTGCATACAATATCTCCGCACTAAAGCATAAAGTGATCTAGCTTTGAGATGAACTTATAACTTCAAATTGATGCCATTCGCACATCCTAGTCCCTATGGCCAAATCAATAACAGTATTGCAATTTAATCATTGTATATATGCAATTTTTAAGTAGTATTTTACTATATAGCTAGACTAAGGGATAGCTATTCAAGAGTGCAGAGTTCTTGAGCTCACAGAACATTCTATATTCCGGTAGTTGTAAACATGAAAACGGTAATACTAAATTAGAGATAATCGAAAGATAATCCCACTCCACAACTCAAATTTGTTCAAATTACTCGTAAATCAACTTTACAGATTTCCTTGAGTTTCATGTTTAATGATCTTCGAACCACTTTAGATCCCGAGTCAACAAAACACTATCAACTATAGTCTATAGATGGTATTCCAACTTATAAGCATGTCAATAATAAAAAATTAAGCTCCATATTTTCAAATAATCTAAAATTAGTTAGTGCAGAGAATCCCAAGGGTTTAGTCTTCATAAAAATTATTGTGCAAAACCCAAACAAAATAAAAATGAAGCCCCTTCAATTACAATGACAATTTACCATCGAAGCACGCAAAATGGTAAAAATATATCAGACACTTAAAGCTTCCTTGCAGTATTGCTGTCGACGGTTTATAAGAGTTCAAAAATTGAAATACAGTTTAGTTTCGAATAACACCCCAAAATAAGTATTACGAACGAAAACTGGGAGCTAAATTAATATGACTTAAAAATAAACCTATAAAGGTACCTGCCACGTTGAAAATTCCTGCAGAGTTCTTTTCTTGGAGGCATAATTAACGATTCCAATTTAGGGTTCTACGACCATTTTATTTTAAGCAAAATATGAGGTTTTGGGAGGGAATTTTAACTGTGAAATGGGGATAATATATTGCGTCACGTTGACGCAATAAAGTCATTATTTTTCTCCCAAGAAATTACTTGCTACCAGGGGACCCAAGTGCATTAAAAATCAATGGTTGGGGATTGTGACCGCCAAAAAAAAAAAAAAATAGTAGGGGACTTACTTGCTATTTTTTAATAGGTTAAGGATCAAAAATATAGTTCCAGATTTTGAGAGCCGGGTTAGGGTTTTAACTTAAATCCCTCTGGAAGAAGAAGACCGAGGAGAATTTCAAGAATGAATTTTAAAGAGAATATGGCAGAAAAAATAAGGATTTACGTTGGAGGATTGGGCCTGAATGTGAAAGAAGATGATTTGAAAAAGACTTTCACTTCACCTCAATTGGGAACTGTGGATTCAGTAGAAGTAATGCGCACCAAAGGCCGCAGCTTTGCTTATTTGAACTTTGTTCCAGTTTCCGACAAGGGCCTTGCCAAGCTCTTCAGCACGGTATGCTTATTTGGCTCTGCTGTTTTGTAAATGGATTTGCTTTTTAGGGTAGTATTTGTGTTTTACAGTAGAAAATTGGTGATTTTGAGAAATGACTCTTTTGAAGTTTAATTTGATTGTTTTCGAATTCCGATTTCAATACCCATATCCGTGGTACTAAACGTAACGCAGGTCGAAGCTATTCTGAGATGATTATATGGGTAAAGATAAGAAAAGCTCTTTCAAGGTGGTTTAACTGCTGTCAATAGGGACCAATATATTCTCCTTTAACAGAAAATTAGATACAAATCGTTAATTTGTCGTTATAGGAAGAGGAACAACAAGGATAACTAACATAGGTGTCCGAAGGTGATGTACCATAGTGGAGAAACAATGCGTCCAAGCCTGAAATTTTGAGTCTAGATTCTTGAATATTTTTGTTTTTCTCTGCACTGACAAATCGGTTGTGTAATTTTATGGCTTGTATGCTGACTAGCTAAAGGATGAATTAGCTTGTTTTGCATTTTTGGACTTTAGAATATTCTTGCTTTTGCTCATTGGATAATGTAATTTTACAGTATAATGGGTGTGTGTGGAAAGGTGGCAAGTTGAGACTTGAGAAGGCTAAGGAACACTATTTTGTTCGCTTGAAACGTGAGTGGGATGAAGATGTTGAACTTGCCGGCAATTTACCCACCCGGAATATTGATCCAGCTGAAAATGTGATCTCTTCAGAAAAATTAAAGAAAGACCCCAGCATGGAAAAAGTGCAGCTCCGGATTTTCTTTCCCAAACTAAGAAAGGTAAAATCTTTTATTCTCTAGCTATGCTTGCATGCCATATCTCATTCTTGCTCAATACCGTTTCTCTTTCTCTTAGCTGTGGGTTAAATGTAAAATTAACTGCAATTGTGTTATTTCCTTCATAAAAAATATGATTGGCTTGCAAGCTAACTTGCTAAGTCTACTGCCAGAATTGAGATCTTAGAACTATAATTGCATGAGTCACATCTGTGGATGTACTGATATATGTTGTTTCATTTCTTCCTGAAGATAAAAGCAGTTCCTTTCAAAGGAACGGGCAAGCACAAATACAGTTTCCAACGTGTTGAAGTTCCTCCTCTTCCTGTCCACTTTTGTGACTGTGAGGAGCATTTTTGCCCTGCTGAGACAGTTAAAGAAAAAGCTTCTAATCATGAAAGTGAAAATTTTGGAGTAAATGAGGAAGAGCTTAACATTATGAAGTCAGTTATGAACAAGATTTTGGAAAGAGAGAACTGCTCAAATGCAACTCGTAACAAGGCTGGGTTTACTATGGAAGTAAACGATTCAGCCACATTACTCAACAATGTGCAAGTTGATGACAATGGGGATGATCAAGGGACCGATGAAGATAGCCTGATAATTAACATGGTGGCTGGGCCCAATGATAGAAGTGCTTTCTTCAAGGATCAGAGACAGGAAGCTGCTGCTGCTGATTGGGTATTGCTTAACGGTTGATTGTATGACTTTTAATGCTTGTGCAATGTTGCATGTGCTTTCAGTGCTTAATTGAAATTTGTCTTCTATTTTTTCTGTGGTTACACAGGATTCAACATTAACAGAACTAAAGACCTCTAATGATAGACACCCTCGGGAAGTGCATAGAAGTCAAAAGAGGGAAACTGTGGCTTCTAAGAAGAGGAGGAAAACATCATTTGATGAAGATGATAGAAACGATGTATCTGGAAGGAAGAGAATGAAAGGTAGCCCACCTATAGTCATTAATAAATTAAGCACAGATGTAAACACTCAACCAGAAGAGACAGAATCAGGTTCCGCACAGTTAAATCATGACGCATCACCTTCACAAAAGTCAGAATATCTGGTAAGTCAGAAGGACAGCACAGAACACATGGAAAATTCAACAAGCCATGGTCCTGAAGTAAAAGAGCAACAGAGTCTTATTGATCCTGGCTTTACTGACAAGGAAAACCAATCAAGCCAAGTAAAAGAGCTGGAAAAAATTACAGATGTTATATCTGATATACCAAGAGCAACTGTTGATAAATCAGCCAGAGGTGCCTCATGGCTACAGAAGTCCTCGTGGACGCAGCTGGTTGGCGATACACATAATAGTTCATTCAGTATCTCACAAGTTTTGCCTGGTGCAACTTTTGAAAAACAGGAGCTACCACAGTTCAACCACTTCGTGTTTTCAAGAACCAATAAGCCACATAAATCTTTTGAAAAAGAGACCAGCAATTCTGTTGAAGGGGTAAGTAAACCTAAGGGAGGAGCCAATAAAAATTTGGCCACTGCTGATCATAAGTTTGATGTGGATGCTTTAACAAGGAAAGAACAGAACGGCGATTTAAATTGTGAGAAATCCAGTCCTGAAATGAAGATGCAAATTATAAAGGATAATGAGGTTTCCACTTCGACGCTTGGGCAGAATGTGCCATCAGCACTCAATCGACCTTCACTAGGAGATATTGTTACAAGCGAAGCTTGCCCTTTCATGAGGAGTGCCGCTTCAATGAAAGAGTGGACAAAGACTAAAGCAGCTTTAAGTGGATCATTCAAGAAAAAAAGGTGAGGAGAAATAGTCTATTAATGATTGAGAAGAAGTCTAGAAGGGCTCGAAAACTCGCCAAGGAAAAATTCATGGCTTGTCTGATTTATTGAATCTGATTCTTATGTAATATGAGCTAAAAATTTAGATACTTCAAATTTTGTTTCTACAATTTAATGGCGTCGAGAGTTGTAAGATTTTTGTTTTCCTGTACTAAAGCTTTATACTCAATGTATTGACTGTCATGGTTGGTGCCTGGTCGCCATAAGTTTAGTCTCCATTTGGTAAATTTTATGAATCAATTTATAATGATTGAAAATTTTATAATGATAAAAAATTTCATCTTTAATAACATTCCAATGGAGTGGATCAACTAGTACTGTTAAGTCATCCGTCGCTCATATCTATCTATAAATTAAATTGTCTACAAATTCTTTTGAATAGACATTTCTTCCAATTAATGGAGGCTACGAGGGATTCAGTAATAAATTGTTGTTTATAAGATCGACTGAAAATCGCCTGATTTAGTATGGCGGCAGTGTACCCAAAAAAATAGATTAACAGGCTTGCAGAACTAGATGCAGGACATGACAATTAATATACTGTGAAAGATGAAGCATCGAGGACACATTCCGTCAAGAATAATGTTAAGAGTAATGTTATTTAAATCTATCGAGATATAACCCTAATCTATCTTGTATTAGGTAATAAACTAAATAAAATGTAAAATTAAATGACTTATTTAGGTCTGGGCGTGGTTTAATTTGGGTTGGTTTCGACTCTAACCTGAAATCCAAATCGAATTAGTCGGTTTGGACAAATTTCAACCCAAACAACCCACTGTAGTTCTTAAACCAAATCAAACCAAATCGAATCGGTTCGATTTGGTTAGTTGGTTCGGACTTTTAGTCTAAATTAATTTTTTTAAAAACAAGTCCGAATTTTAAGCCCACTTAGATTACAATAACTAAATAAATTTTTACTACAAGAACAATTGACTAACAAATAAAATCGAGTTCAAAAAAATAGATTAACAGGCTTGCAGAACTAGATGCAGGACATGACAATTAATATACTGTGAAAGATGAAGCATCGAGGACACATTCCGTCAAGAATAATGTTAGAGTAATGTTATTTAAATCTATCGAGATATAACTCTAATCTATCTTGTATTAGGTAATAAACTAAATAAAATGTAAAATTAAATGACTTATTTAGGTCTGGGCGTGGTTTGATTTGGGTTGGTTTCGACTCTAACCTGAAATCCAAATCGAATTAGTCGGTTTGGACAAATTTCAACCCAAACAACCCACTGTAGTTCTTAAACCAAATCAAATCGGTTCGATTTGGTTAGTTGGTTCGGACTTTTAGTCTAAATTAATTTTTTTAAAAACAAAAAATTGTCCGAATTTTAAGCCCACTTAGATTACAATAACTAAATAAATTTTTACTACAAGAACAATTGACTAACAAATAAAATCGAGTTAATAGAGACGGATCAATATAAAACTTGAAAAGTTTTGTTGTTTTTCTATGTGTTATGTAGTTTGACTACTTGAGTAGAAAAAAAAATGTTAAGTTTAATATAATGAGCTTTCGAAAGGAAATTATCAGTGCTATTACTTATCGGCAACATCATAAATTGGAGGGAATCGAGATATAGTTATGAGATTATGACATTTTTTTATTTTTTTCTTAAATTTAAAAGAAAATGAACATATAACTGGGCTAGGTTGGTTCAGTTAACCAACGGTTTGAAACTTCAAACAATCACTAAACCGACCCATCATTGTTTGTTTAAAATAAAACCAAACTAAATCAAATACCCATGTCCAACAAACCCGAACCAACTCGAGTCGGTTCGATTTGATTGGTTTGAGCGATTTTTTGATTTTTTTGCCTAGGCCTCGCCTTATTTAATTATACATATCATTTAATACTAGATTATGTCTAGGTTCAATCAGTTACATTTCCTGACGAAAATCTTGGAAGGATTTCTTAGAGCTTAACTGACTCATTTAACTTTACTTATTATTTAATGTCACATTAACGCCACATGGACTGGAGTTATAACTCCAATTAAGCTAATAAAGTAACTCATCAAGAATAACAGAGCCATCATATAAATTTTAACAATCTACAAACCAACGAAGAAACACAGCAGTTCATTAAAAGTTCATAGAAAATTGAGAATAATTATTCATAGTACATCACAAACAAAGAAAATCAAGCTCCACTTCCATTACAAATGCACGAACCTTGACATCGGTTTCATCTAGCACTATAATCTAATTTTAAGTCTTGAGTCCAAACACGAGACACAAATCCAACTTATTTCTTAAGGAAGCAAAAGCTTCAATACCCAGCCATTTAGTAGTTACTACTACCGGTCTTTGAGTTCCTGCTCAAATTGATGTAATTTCCCCCGCAGAGGCTGCAAAAATAATTTCAAATCCTCAATGATCCTTCGCTTATCTTGTTCCAAAAGATCTTCGTCTTCACTGAGTTTTGCTTGAATCTGCAGAGAAAATGTAAAAATGAATAACTTACACATTGAAGTTGAGTTTCTTCAGGGGTGTGTACAAACAAAGCTCAATTCTTTAAAATCTTATTCTGCTGAGAAGAGCAAGGTTCTCGAATGGTGTAATATTGCATCAATAATGTCTTTATTCTACATCGTTCTGCAAAGGGGTCTTGAACGCTAAAACATAACATACCTGCAAATCATCCAGTTCACCAAGTGAGAACTCTGGAATATCTATATGGCCTTTGACCTTCCTCCTCTCTGATCCAACTGTCCATTCTCCTGATATCCATATTTCACTTGTGAAAAATAGCATGGAAACGAAAAGGAAAAAAAAAAGGATGAAGTAAAGTACGACAGCTCTGTAAAACAGAAAGAAAAACAAAGAGTACCATTTACTCTCAATGTCAATTCATAATTGTAACCAACGCGTTTTTTGTTTCTTACAGTCACCAAGAATGCCTGCAAGTCCAGTTGAATTATCATTACTCAGAAATAGCAGTTGACGTCATAACCATAAAACATCCAATGTAGCTTTATATATAGCAACCATGTTACCAATTAAAAGACACTTTTTTCACCGTCCATAATCATTCCCATTCTGCATTTTCTTGTTTCTTGCCATTTGAAAAAATTAAGATCTCTATACTTGTCCCACTGATTTAAGTCCCCTTTCATTTTAAGTTTTTCTGACCTCTTTTATTTCTGTTAAAAAAACATTTACGAGTAACTTGCCCATTAATTTCACGATACAATCCCAGATTTTACCCCTTATCAGCTGCACAGGGCTTCATTTCTCAGCTTGCACGCTTAGGTTATGCTTGGCTCCAGATTAGGCTGCATATAAAATTACAAAGGATAATACTAGGTACATGGTACGATAGTGAATTAAGGTGGATAGCATTCTTCATTTTTCATTCCAACAGATAATCTGAACCATCAACCTTATAACATTATCGAAGGTCGGAGGTAGGTTTGGACTTGATAAGGCATGTTTGGAAAGTGTTTACAAAAGGTTTAAGTTATAGATATGTTGAAGTGTGAGTCATTTGATGGCAACTCCTGTAATATCCAAACCCATCCAACCACCACCCAATCCAACCGGATTTGGGATCAAAGATATCAGACGTAAATTGCATGGGCCGATTTGGTGCCGTTTAGATGGTGAATATGGTGGATAACTTGAGGGGGGGCAAGTAAGATGGAGGAATTCGTTGCTAAGTTCAATGAGTCTTCACGAGCTTTCTTGCACAGCGCTGTGCCAATAGTCAGAGTAGAGAAGGCGGTCCCGAGGGTTATTTTCGGAGTAGTAAAGGATTAAAGCAAGCGGATCATCTGTCTCCATTGCTATTTGTATTATAATGGAAGCTTCAAACACGATGCTCGAGAAGGCTACGGAGAAGAGTTTAAGGGACTTTATGATTGAGCATTTGCAGGCATCTCATTTGTTATTTGCAAACGATACGCAGATCTTCTATGACACAAATGTGAAGCAATTCAAGAACCTGCATCATTTGCTTCTATGCTTTGAAGCTGTATTTGTATTTAAGATAAATCTGGAGAAATCTGAGGCTATCACGGTGGAAGAGATCAATAACGTGTAGAAGTTGGCTACTACATTGGGGTTGCAGGGTTGCGCAATTGGGCTTCCTTTAGAGCACGGTTTAAAAGTATACATATTTGAAACAGTATTATGGAAATGGTGGAGAGAAGGCCAGAGGATTAGAAGCGTATGTACATCCCAAAGGGAGGCTGTCTTATTCTCATAAAATCTACTCTATCGAATCTCCCTACGTATTTCTTATCATTATTTCATATTCTTGCTACAGTGGCAAAAAGATTATAGAGGATTAAAAGGAAGTTTCTTTAGGGGAATTAGGGGAGGAAATTAGATTTAGTTAACTGGGGTGTAGTTTGTTCTTCCATAAGGTTGGGGTGTCTCGAATTGAGAACCCTCGTATTGTTTTATAAGGCTTTGCTGGGTAAATAGTTGTGGCAATTCGAAGTGGAGAGTGAGTTTTTGGAGAGAAATTATAAGGTAGAATATGGTGTTATTAAGGGAGGATAGTGCTCAGTCGAGAGTCGTGGTTCTTATGGAGTGAGTTTATGGCTGTATATCCGACAATCGTGGAGCAATTTTCGAGATAGATTGACATTTCTAGTGATTGAATGGTAATACTATCAATTTTTGGGATGATTCTTGGTGTGAAGATCAGCCACTAAGGGTGAGATTCCCTTCTTTGTATCATATTGCGTTCGTGTTGTCTGCTATGGTGAACGACGTCTTAGACTACGTCTTAGATATACATAACGGAAGTCTTAATTGAAACGTTGTTTTGGATAGGTTTGCATGACTGAGAATTGGATGATTATGCGCTGCTTTTGACATCTTTTTATGAGGTACACATCAGGGCTGCGAGGATAATTGTAGCAGGTGGAGGTTGACACATGGTATTTTTCAGTTGGAACTTATTTTAGATCCTTATTAGGAAGTGTGGATAGTTCTTTCTCCTGGAAGTTGGTATGGAAATATAAATTGCCTCCATGGATGGCATTTTTACCATGGACAATGGTCAGAGGATGGCTATTAACTGTGGATAATCTTCAAACAAGGGTTTTTATGTTACAGAATGATGCTATATGTGTAGGAGAGATGGAGAGATGATTGACCACTTGTTCCTTCATTGTGATGCTACTCGTTTACTGTGGAAGGATATTCTAGCATCTGGGTGTTGTCGAGGCATATGGAAGACGCTTTAAAGACATGGACGAGAAAATTTCACGATAAGAATAGCAAGCTTGTACAAAACATTTATACGTGACGAGACAAAGAAACATGCACTATTTTATTGATCAAACACTGAAAATAAAGCAGATTAAAGAATTATTTTATTTGACATTGTATACTTGGTTTAATGCCGTGGCGACTATGCATATAAATGGACTGCCCAATTTCATGTTATTCCTTTCTAGTTTAAATTGATAATACATTTCCCGTTTGATTAATAAAATATTTGACTACCTTTCAAAAAAATAAATATATAGAAGTGGCGAATAAGTGGTTAGTACTAGTGGATCCTTCGAATTGTGTGCTTAAAAAATTGCTTGTGTAATAAACAATTTATAAACACGAGCCAGAAATAGGCATAATAAATGACATTCTTCAAATAAAATTCAACAAATAGTAACCACCTTAATCTATCATAATAACATCTACCTAATAATATCCATAATAATTTATACTAGATTCCTTAAACGTTCTAATCTAGTGCACCAAACGCACGCTAATGCACAAATCGACTACAACTTAGTCGAGGATGTCAAAGCAGAAGAAACCTTTATCGAATTAGAGCTAAGATGAAGATAATTTGCAAAATGAATTCACACAATCATATAATAGAATAAAAAGCCATGATCTTACGGGGTATTTATGTACCCTTTTGAAGTGACCTCTATTGATAAGTAAATACTTGTACCTAGTAGTTAACATTTAAGATGCTTATTTCCCAATTACTGAACTTCTTACTGCCCGTTTCTATTAGTTTCAATTTTTCATCTCTTAAAATCAACCGAGTCTGTAACTTGTAACTCGAATAGTAATTCTCGCATGAGAGATAGCAAACAGCTAAAAATAAGAAACCAATCTTTAGCCAAAAACATATTATGCATTTATCTTGTGTGTAAGATATAGATCTCTAAGTGGATCCTCTGACGATATCATGTATGTCAAATCTCCACAAGAAGAAAACAAAATTACTTGGAAGCTAAAAGAAATTCATAGGACTGAACAGAAATCATCTTGGCCATGTAAGTAGTTACGAGCACTCACATCACCAGTGCATCTGGTTACTTCAGCTATTTCTGCTCTGCCACCAGAGAACTCCAGGGCCCCCACAGACACGACCAATTCCTGCAATCAATGAGCATGCATGATACGTAAATATCTAGAAGCAGAAATGTTTCTACAATAACCCGATCGAGCATATAATATGAACAAGCTTGGATACATACCCATTATGGTCTTTGGAGACTGAAACTTGGATTTATCACAAAATATTAAATCTTAGGATCGAAGAAATTGCTTACTTGAGATTTAATTACGTATATTTCTTAGAAGGTATTATTTGGTCATTCCACCGAAAGGTTGTTTCTCTATTTAGCTAACATTTAAGCTAATGCTCCAGTATGTTTAACATTTCCCGTTGATTGTTGAGATAGAATTGTTTTTTATAATTTTAATTCTGATTGACGATGTCTACAGCAACAGTACTTGTGAATATTTGAAGAACAAGCCAAAAGTAATGAGAGAGACAAGAACATTAAAATCATGACAAATAACCCCCATCAAGCCACAACCAGGAAATGTCAAGGACTATCAACAGAAAAAGCTGTTGCAGGCTTGCAGCACAGGCGAGATAAATACACCTAGAAAAACATAAATAATCTATCTCTTATAAAACATCCCCAACACGCTTAGGCCTATGAATCCGCTGTTCTCACGCCTTCATGCTCCAAAGGCCTCATTTTTCAGTTATCACCCCTACCCACCCCACTCCAAGTTTAAGCCGAAAAGTCACATCTTTATATTCCCTTTTCTTGGCTCCTACACCTCTCCAATCCTCATTTCATGCATTCCCGAGCTGCGTATGCAAAAATCACACTACTGTTTTTTCACTCTTTTCAACTTACAATCTATAATCATCAGCTGACATGGAAAGGCCGGAACAAGAATGCCTTTCACCAGAAATCGTGAGCCAGGGAGTCCAAAATTCCGGTCCCTACGTCAAACTCTGGTTTAGTTAATTAAGAACTTTCTGACAACATCTTACTTTTTGTCTCTTCAACCTCCATTTTGATTAATAACATCTGGAGAAACTTCAGCCCAAATCACCCATATGCCAGATGCAGATTTAAGAGTTACAACAGTTCAAGAAAGAATAAGCCGAAAGGGGAAAAGAGAAAAGGGAATCTTCTAGAACTCATCAACATGTGGTTCATCATCTATCTCAATAATTGAAACTCAAGTCTCTAAGTTCTAAAGACAGGTACTAATAGTAGCATCCCATGGAAGTTTTTATGATTTAATGTTGGTGCTATGCCAGAGGGCCTCCAGCCTCGAGATTGTTTTTGAATGGTACTTGTTGGAAACTCTGTTCGCGAAGGTGTTATAGCCATGAGGAATGGAAATTTGTTTTTATTTCTTAATGGGAGTGTCAGCTATCTGCTACCATAACTCTTGATCAAAATTTTGTGCCTAATGACAAGTTTCTGAAATCAAGCTATGCTAATGGTAAGAACGAATGCTTTAGTATCAACGCTATTAGTACATTGGGTTCAATAGGAATTCCTTTTTAAATTTGTTTCCATCAAAATCACCGAAGTAGGTAAAATATGACTCTAATCCAGATCAGAATCTTAGTAGCACTACGTTTTTCAAGGAGAAATTATACCCCTTTTTTAGCCCCATTCTTTAAAAATTCATTTTTTTTTCAAACTCATTTTCAACCACACATTTTTCAATAAAATAATTTTACACGCATATTCAAAAAAAATTCCATACCATATAACCACGCATTGTCAAAAAAAAAAAAAAAAGTCACTATTATAAAATCTATTTTTTTAAAAAAAAAATGGGGCTCAAACAAAAATACTTGATGGATTGCATGCACTTCTTGAACAATTTCTATATTATGGCATGTGAATTCGTAAAGGATTATCACCATTTGGAGAGTGTTTCAAGGTCAGGGGAGCCTTAATCCAGCTTCCACACTTCCACATATATATGCACTTGTAACTTATAAAAAAAAAAACATATTTATGCACTTGTTGCCAAATTTTCCCCCTAAATGAATAAAGTTATGACTGTATCGTCTCCATGTCTTAAATATGGAAATGAGGTCTAATTAGTTCGTTCTTAAGCTGGCCATCTAATTAATTTGGAATTGATTTTTTGAAGCTTGTGAAGGTATGTAGTTCCTTTCTCGTGCTTGTATTTTTCTTCCCCAATTCGGGATTAAAAAAATAAAAAATTGAAGACAACCTGGAAACTTTCTAAAGAACAACCCCTTAAATGCCAACTGTGCCGCTGTTAGAAAATCATATTCATCCTGAAATGCTTGTAATAGTCTAAATTCAAGTACAGTCAACAAGCCATTGTCTATCCATAATCAAGTACTGTACTCTATCGCACTGAAAAATGTTATCTTCCTCTTCAGCATCATAACTCACATTTTTCAACTTCAAATACATCGAGTACGAAACAAATCTACCTCAACTACACCTACGTTTTTAAAAAAGGGAAAACAAGAAAATGTTTAAATATTTATCATTAAATTATCAACTTCATACAGTTTATTCACGCAGTATAACAGTTAATAGTTCAACTATCTGCTAAATCCCAGTTTCATTTCACACTAGAGTTTTTCATTAACAAAAATTTACCCAAGTAGCATGGGTCACATGGAATTTCGTGTGAATCAGCAAGGACCGCCTTGCAGGGCTAAATACCCCCAGTCACACCCCCATTCACATAGATAACCATACCTAACAATACATTAAACTATGTGGAAATGAAATTGATGACTCGACCTAGATATAGAATTTCACGTATACATTTTTTTTTCCACCAATAAAATGAAATAAGCATCCAATTATATCCCCATTTGTTAACTCCTAATCACCTTTGACGATCATATAGTATATCGAAACCAAAGATCATATAACCTTTGCACATATGTGTTGGATTATGGTTATATATATATATTTCCCTCTTGGATTCAAACCGTCCATAATAAAATATTTTCTAATCAACTAAAACCAAAATAGACAGAAAATAAAAACAAAAATCATACAGCCAAACACACAGTAAAATCCATATCAATAAAAGACGGAAAAAATATCTTCAAAAAAATTAAAAAATTATTTTCTCCAAATGGATACCCGATTCCATGCGGATCCGAGGTGGGTCGGGTTTGATTGATTGGGCAAATCCTCCACATTGAGCTTCTTGGGGACGGGTCTTGGAGCTGCATCATGGGTCAATTCCCTGACCCAATATGTGTATGAGGCTGCCGCAGCTGATTCTGATGCCTTATCCGTTGAAACAGCAGCTGCACCACCCTCCATTTTTCTCTAAAGAACTATCAAATAAAACTGAAGAGACCCCAACCAAATGCAACCAAACAGTTTGGATTCAATCAAATGGCAAAAATATACTGGTATACAGAATTAATTGACTGGAATGAAACAAAAAAACGTACTTTTAATGGGTAAAAAATTAATATTTTAAATAATTTGAGGTGGGATCCCTTTGAATTCTGGAAGTTTCCTGTGGGTTGTGGAGAAAACAGAAAATCAAGAAAATTGCACTGGCAGTAGCAGCCTTGGACAGGAGTGGTTGATTCTTGACTGAGTTATGCAAGCAATGAAAAATTAGTACAAAAGCCTCTTCTCGAACTTTCTATCGGGTTTTCCTCATTTGGGTCGGAGCGGGTAAACTTTATTAGCGGGAACACTACTATTTTGCACGCTGAACCAGTCGGGTCAAAACGGACTGGTCAATCCAAGCTCGTCGGATTGACTCAGTCTGAATATTGAGTCGAACTAATCTTCGTTATATATGAAATTATTGGTCTACAAGAAATTAGCTGTCTATTTGGTACTGATTATGAAAATTAATTTTTTTAACGATTGGAGAGAAAAGTGGGATTACATGTGAGTGAAGAAATTAAAAATAACACTTGAAATAGTGAAATAACGATAAAAAAAATAATTTTTTAGGGTAAAAAAGTATTATCAAACGGAGGCTAAATTGTATCAAAATTAATCTATAGAGTTCGACAGTCCAACTCATTAAAGTCGCTACAACCGCCAAAATAATTGGTTAAGTCATGTTATCGATTTGGTCAAGCTCAAGTATAAATGTGGTTGAAAAGATTATCCCGTGCTTTTCTTGTAATGGATTTTTTTTGTTTTTCTGGAATGTACTTTTGGTCACATGTTGTGACTTTTCTTCTTTAGCCTATGTTACAAAAAATGAGTTTTGTAATGATATTTTTCTGAAAAATGTATAATTAAAAATTATAAATAATTTTAAATTTGTATGTAAAATTATTTTATTGAGAATAAGTTTTCAGAAAATGAAGCTCAAACATGGGCTTAATAATCAGATGAGTTTTAGAGTAAGTTCTACTACTTAAAATTTAATAAAAATATAACTTTTATCCCTACTAAATAGGGATTTAACATGTGTTTGAAATAGACAATTTTGGGTGGAGAACTTCTCGAACAATATTTGCCCCCTCTCCGGATTATACGAGATGCTTCAAGGGTTTTACGGCAAATAGTTCATAGGATTAATCAAGCTTTGTTGTAGAAAAACACCAAAGCATAAATGATTTTCTACCCAAACTTGAAAAACACAAGAGATAATTGCTTGAATATGAAAATAGAAAGAATGTTTTCTTGTGGAATGTAAAATCAGTTTCTCATATGATATTTTAATATATGTATTGATCATTCAACACTTATTTATAGATGTTAATCAATACCTCACGAATTGGTGCCAAAAGTCATGAAGAAATGCAAGATTCCCTCTAAAAGCCACCAAAAAACTAACTGAAAAATAGCCTCCGACGGTCACTTTAAATGTACCATGCAATCGCATGGTTTAACTCTATGCGGTCGCATAGTATATTTGTGACCGAGCCTTTTACGCTCGGCATATGGCCATGCGACCGCATGGCCATACACCATGCGGTCGCATGGTTAAACATGCAGCCGCCGTTTCAATTTTATGTTCCAATTTTGTTCCTTTCATTCCACGCACGTGTTTATTGATTTTGAACAACATATTTTCAACATGTAATAAATCAGCTTTATCAAATGAAGTTTGATATACGACCATAAAAACTTGATCAAATTTGGTTAGAATAACTCCAAATTCAATCTCAAATAGGGAGTCCTGTGACTAAACTCCCCCCCCCCCCCCACTCAAATAGGGAGTCCTGTGACTAAACTCCCCCCCCCCCCTATCTACACGTAAATTTTGTGAAACAAGAGTTTACAGGATAAGAGAAATTTGTCAAAGATCTTAGACGTTTTAATTAGAAGGTATTCTACAAAGTACTAACACTTTCATTTTTTTTTCATGCAAATGACGTGTTACGTACTGTTATATTTATATTTCAAGTGGAACATAGGAAGATATGACTAGCGTAGTAAGACTTCGACCCAACTTCCTTCACTTGTTGAGATCAAAATCATGTGTTCAAGCAAAAGAAACATTTGAGTTGCTATTATTTTAATGAGTGCTTAGCCTAAAGCCCCGTTTGATATCAATTTTGAACACATTTGTAGAAAATTTCGACCGTTGGTGACTATTTTATACCAATTTCATCTGACAAAGACAATACAAGTTACTCTATAATTTCAGACTTTATGTACTCGATATTTCCATTTTTGCCCTACATACATAGCACTTGTTAGGCTGTACAATTGAAACATCACGTGTCACAAACAACAAAAAATGGGGTAAAAATGGAAAAACAAAAAATTATTCTACACATTTCGGTAACCTGGTTAACTAGGTGAGTACACTGGGGCCCAGTACTCGTGGCAGAAAAATGCATTATTTTGGCCATAAATGGCGCCCAAACAGGGGCTAAAAGTATGGCGAACATTTGAAGGATACATCAAGATTACTTCAAAATAC